CTGTCCAATAAAGGCAAAAAGCCCAATATATTATACTGTGTATATGTATATATTCATTAGATACTCTGCCTAGTTAATGCTCATGTCTTTCACCTCCTTGTCCCTAAAAAAAAATGAAACCTATGAGCACAAGCCAACCGACATCATCAGAAAGCTTCCTCCAGAACCGTACTAGACATGTAAGGTTAAAGTAAAAGCTGGTATGGTTGGGCCGTGTACTGTACTAAATCTTAAAAAAGCCAATTCCAATTCTTGATTTCAGCCTCACTTTGTGGCCTTCCTTAACAGATGGAGTTAGGGTCAGGGTTATTTAGTTAAGCAGTCTATTGAGCAAACTACACTGAGGAATGCAAAGTCTCGGAGGACCCAAGTAAGTAAGTGGACCTTGCGGTAAGATGTTTTTTGGTCAATTTGACTATTTAGAAATATTAAAGACCCTCTTTGGACACGGTCAACAACATAAGACATTAAGCTTTGAAAAATAATTTGTGTCTGATAAAATTTTTCCACACATTTTTTTCTAAAATGCATCTGCTCCTACCTCGCTGAAAAATCCATACTAATAATATCTATAAATATGCAAATATTTTCTGTTTCAAAAGTTTAACTGTTCATAAAAACTATCTACTGAAAAGTCCATTGTCAGTGTATGTACACTGGAGGCCTCACACTTGTGTAAGTTAAGTAAGTAAATTACATGTTTGACCACGATGGGCTTTCAGACTAGTTGTGATAAACAAACGCCTGCTCATAGGTATAGGTGTTGAACTCACAGTTAAGGTGAGCACAGACAACTTCCCCCCCTTAAGCAGGTAAATGTGAGGACAACCCTCTAGCGTCAAACTCGCATGTAAATCATTCTACAGTCACACCTCCAACTGATGTACCAAAACACATTTATGAGCTGAGGGGTGCTTTAAATTAATGCTACTGTAGTAGGAAGGTGTGTTTTACCTCAGTGAAAGAGAGCCTCACTGGCCCCATTAAGTGAGACATAAAACGTACCACTATTAAGACCATTCCATTAACTTAACTTTCTCATTAAAGCATTAGCGCTATTGCTCTACCGTAAACGAGCAGCAGAGGGGGCAATTTAAGTGCTCTGTTGTCACATTGGTCATCAGTAATGAATGTGCCAGGTCAGATAGTCCTCAATCAGCCAGTCATTCAGGGGCTTGTGTCTGATACTTTCCCTGCTCCTGTCATAAAACAGGAATGCTCTGCAGTCCCACACTGTACTGAATGCTTTATGTCACAAACCAGACATCTTAGAGGCTACATGAAGCCTAATCAACATGCAAGTGAGTACATTTGGCAAACTTAGTAAATACTCAGTGGGAAAATTCGTTCACGTTATCAAACCATCTTGTAGGGAGATATCTGAGGAATCTGTTTGAGGAATTTTCCTTATCTCTGGGATCATAACTCGTCATGGGAATAAAGAATGAAGATAGATTGTTTGTTTATAGGCCCGAGATATCTCTGTAGAATGAATGCAGGTTGGCGGGGATTTCTGAAACCGGGACTGGCAGGAGATTGATGAGGGAGGGTTGGGGAGGGGCGAATATCTTTGATTCTCTGAGCGTTCATTGATTAGAACCATTATCAAAAAGGGGTTAACACATTTGTCTTATAGTTTGGTTTTATGTGGAAAAAATTTTATGATAGTTGCACAAGTAAGAAGTGTCCCTTTAGTATGATTCATGTTGCTCTGACAGATTGCTGCACCTTGGCGGACGTGATAAACGTCTTTTTATGAATTGCCAAACTTCCTTTACAAGATAAGATGACTTTTCCCAGAATTGTTGCAGCCTGCATGCATTCTTCGTTGCACATTCCATGGCGGGGCCTCAGAGTACATGCCTGTCGTGCTTTGCGTGCGTCCATGTCCCACTTCTCGCTTTAGCCATGTCCCTTATTTGATGGGAATGTCTCATTGTTCTTGAGTCTGAGGACGCTCTGGGAGGGTGGGGTCGAGGGAGTGGGTGCAGGTTGTGACCAGACCCGTCTCGTGCAGCGGAACTCTGGACGTTCACTGCAGGATACTTGGAATGCTGCTGAGACAGAGGGGCGCGTTCTTATCAGCCTGCTCCGTGCTCCATGCCAAGGGAACTGTGCCAGACAGGCCAAGAGGAAAGGACTTATTCCTCTAACACACAATGAGTGCGTGCATGCACACTGATGTCCTACTTACAGTATGTGTATGTTTGCATATTGCAGCATGTAAACAGTGGTGTAATGACATATTTTCCTTAAGTAAAAGAAATTGGAAAAAAATGGAAAACATAACTTAAAAATAATTTTTTTGACTTGACACAAAAGACTCAATACACTTTGTGTTTCTGAAGCTTTCAACCAAATCCCCCGGCCTTCCTTTGCCTATGGAGTTTGCTCAGTTGTCATGGTGATGATTTTGTTGTCAACACATAATCTAAATATAGAATCATAGACCCTAACCCCTGTCTCTCTTTGTTCATGGTTGGTCTCTGGTGCCAGATGTGAATGGCTTCCTCCATCTTTACCCTAGGAATTTGTGAGATTTTTTTTGGGAGGTGTTTGTGATTTTCCTCTACTCTTTGTACCTGTTGGAGTGCCCCATGGCCATGATTCACTTCCCTTTCTCTATCCTCCTCCTCACACTGACAATATGTTTTACTCTGTGAAATACTAAAAGCGTGGCTGCACTGCATTACACTGGACAGAGTGCAAAGGGTTTCTTTTCCAGCTTTCAGTAAGAAGTTAATGTCTGACAAACACATCCAGGGCCTGTTATTACTTATCATTTAAGTAATAACAGTAGTTTTCCAACAGGAAATCCTGTTTAAAGAACATGTTATTGAGCAAAATATTTGTATTAATCCACATTAATTCCTTCATGGAGTCACCTATTAAATAGCTTAAACAACTGAGAGAATGAGAGAGTCAAATTGAATCCAGAACTCAAGTCAGTTCAGCTCAAGTCATTTTATTTACAGAACGCATTTACAGTAACATGTGTTGACCAAAGTGCTGCACAAAGAAGAGACATTTAGAGAAGTGAAATACAAACCAAAGGTGATTTGGAGTGGGATGCTGGGACTGCTGCTGGTTGAATGATTAAAGCAGCAGATGGCTAATCTGAGGCAGGAACTGGAGCAGAGACTCGCTGTGGCTGGATGATGCTACTGAGAGAAGTGAGGTTAGTCTTTCTGAAGAAA